TAGTGTCTACAACACAATCTTTGACGGCTGGATTTCATTTTTAGTACACTATATTGGTCATTTTTCAAAAAAGGTCGTGTCATCAAAAATGGTCAACTAAGTTGTCACTTTAATCATAACTGAAAAAGGTCGTATCATCAAGAATGGTCCACTAATTAAGTTGTTAATTTAATCAAAACTCGTACAATAGCCAACATATTGTACTAAAAATGATCACTTTCTAGTACAATATGTTGGTTATTGTACGGATAATTGTGATTAAAATGGCGAATTAGTGGACGATTCTTGATGATGCCCTATAATGGACCTTTTTCGGAAAATGGCCAGGGCCATGTTTGAAATTTTGCCCAATCTTTGAGTCTTGATGAACACAGGGCGCGTACAAAAACGACATGCTGGGGATGGAGTTCGACTCACCACAGCTAGGCCAGCCGAGAGTGAAGGGAGAAAATGTGTTGACATCGATTATAGGAATCTCTCTAAATCATTCCAAGTGGTGGGACCTGGCTGCCGTTGCCTTGATTCTTGTGGCTTATAGGTTATTGTTTTTCGCCATCATCAAGTTCAAGGAGAGGGCACTGCCACTGCTCAAATCGCACTACACGGAAAAAACTCTTTCTCGCATGAAAAAGAGGCCGTCTTTCAGAAAGGCGCCAATTACGCTCTCTTTTTCTTCAAAGAGGCATCACGTCATGCAACCCTTGTCGTCTCAAGAGGGTCTAAACTCACCATTACAATGAAAAAGTAACATATAATTAAATATATTTATATATCAAGACCTGCATTAAAGATATCGGCTTTTGGGAAAATTTGCATCATAAGCCGGGTGTTTTTGCTGCATCTTTCGTTTTCAATAGCTTAATCAGGCATTAAAGCTTCTAATTAAGCTACAGTACTCTTCTCTCCCAAATGCAATATTGTTTGTTGTATTGTATGTTTTCATTCATCTCTTTATAAATTAATGAGATACTAAATTAGTTGACATTGATATTACCACATAATATAGATGTTTGTGGCTCTTATTAAGAAATAACATAAAAAAATATTGCTTTATAATCTACATTCGCATTTATGCTCCATTGCCATTGGTCCGGTCCCACTTTTAAAGTCCTTAAATCCCATTTAACTCTAGCCATGTTTAATTTTTGTATATTAAATAAAAAATATATTTTATCCCTTAGAGTCCGCGGATAGCCAACTTCTCATGACGTCCTATATACATGCACGTAATAGTTATAATTTAGACTTTGTGGGTTACATTAACTCATCACACATGCATTGGAAGTGTCCAAAAAGGTGCATACTTTGTATCTCCAAAGGTCTCCTATTTCCACTTGGTCACGAGATATTTAATTAGGCCATGTCAAAATTCATATTCGCCTCACGTATTTCCCAACTTTCAAAACCTTT